ATATTAATTAAATTATAAATATATCAATTCATGTGAATATGACTGAAAAATTTCATTTTTTTCTGAAAAGGTGGTGTTTATTTACTTGTGACCACGCTGTGTACAGTTATTTTACTGAAATTGCAAATACTTCATTTTCCTCCACCCCCACTCCTTTGATGCTTTTTGAGTGCTTTTCATATAAAACATTAATCTGTTGTAATCTCCCCTACCCTCCAATCTCCAAATCCTGGTATGTCAATATTTATTATTCCAAAGTATCATGTCTCGCCAACTTTGACTTTGTACTCCATGAATGAAGCTTGTAACCTAGTGCACAATAGCTTAACATACCAGATCTTGGACTATAATGTTTGTGTTGTACTGTGTTGTCTTCCAGCTGGAAAGAAAAAAAATTAAAACCTATTCTCTTATCATATAAATTCATCAACAAATTACTTTGTGTGTAGAATTGTAAATATTTTTGATTTTGGACATTTTTTTTTATTTATAGTTGATTGTGACATCAGTTTTCAAACAAGTGTATGATTTCTTCACCTCATTGTTTGTATATCTTGCAATCACAAGTTTGGTGATCTGGATCCCATCTTTGATTTTGTCAGAATATTTTCCAAAATTCTTACCTTACAACATGCAGCTTTCCAGGTAAGTATAATATGAAAGTGTAGAAAAAAAAAAGTTTGTGTAAAATATTTAAAAAACTATAAAATAGAAATATGTTTAAACTCTAAAAGTAAAATTGACATTTTGAACATTAATGTACTTTGGAATTATACTAGACCATTGGATATTTGAAATATCATAAGTCATAAGAGGAACATCACAATTTTTTGGTTTTAACAAAGTAACCAATAAATAAATATAAGTATTGTGCATATACCATTTAATTCAAACACATATTCATAAAACCTGTCCATCTTAGAGCATTATGTGAACACTGTACTGTACATTAACAGTTACCACTATATGTAGTGGCAGCTGTATCTAAGAGACCTTTTGACATTGTATAAGTAAGTGATTTTTCAAATCTTGTTCAAGGTTCTTGAAAATGGACTTATTGTTGAAAGACTGTAAGAAATTTAAAATATTTTATTAAAGAATAATCAAAATTTAAAGTTGTTTTTGGTGAAGTTTTCTAAGATTACATGTTTGAAATAAGGAATAGGTTTTCATCTGAGATTTGTTTTTTGTATGATTTCAGTGAGTTAATTGTCAGTGATCTTTCACTGGAGGTTGTGATCCTGCAGGTGTTGCTTCCATTAATGTTTGATATAGAAATTCCCTGTCAACTTTTGAAATGTTTCATCACAGGCTGGTTTTCTTATGTGTCAAGTCTTCTTGGTATTCATTCCTATTTCTTTGGAACAAGTATTGAGCAGGTGGGTGTCTAAAAAAAGAATAATGCATTAAGCTAAGAATACCGAGGTCCTTACTGTTACCAAATCACCTGCAGTTAAAAACTTCAGCTTTTTCAGCAGATTCCTAAAGGCTAGTACTAAGCAAAAGACAACAAAATGAAAAGAAAAACCAAACACAATATTCAAATGTAGTTAATTTTATGAGAAATACATATTTCAGAGTTATCATCATATTTGATCATACATTAAAAAATGTTAGACATTAATTTCATATTCCTATATCCTGTCTAAGGTTTGATCTGTCATTAGATTTCATGTAATTGTTATCATCCATTTCAAACAAGTGTCTTAGATTTAGTATGGTGCTTTTTGTTTTTCTATGTCAATTTCTGAACTACAAAATTTATGCTTGAATGTGTGTGTGTATATTGACATATGATGGCCTTGGATTAAGGATACTCTCCCATTCCTCACAGTCCAATTCTACTACTGTAGTATGCTGATAATACATATCTTCTTCTATAGTATATTTCTTATCTACAAACTTTTTAAGTCTTTAAAGTTCTAATGTGGAACATGCTAAAACTTGTTCAAGTTTTTTTTAATTTATGTCTAAGATGTAACTTTTTATAGTTTGGCTGACTGGGGAACTCATCTGTAGTTTTGTGAGATAATTAGAAGTTGACTTGTTTGACTTTGTGTGTGAGGAATGCCTTGCAGCTGTAGTTTAGGGCATGGATAGTTCCTGATTTTTGTAGAGAGCAGTTTGTCCTTTTGAGAGAGTCAAAACTTGCTGGAAAGTATTTTCCATGTGCTTATATATTTTATATATCACTTTTCCTGATCATGTAAATGAACTTTTATTACTCTTTATATACAATGTATTTTACTTTATATTAAACTTATCACAATCCAATAGTCTTATCTCCCTGTATAACTCACCATTCTTCTGTTTCTTCAATAAACAGTGTTTAATTTTTTTTCTTTGAATTTCATTACTGTGTGTCTCTTTTATTTCACCACCTGCGACAAGTTGCTACAACTCTTGGATGTTAGATTTGCAAAGATCAGATGATTATGTGTAGGCTTACCCTAGAACTACCACAGATCGAACAAAAGTTTTGGTGCCATGACCAGGATCTAATTAATTATTATGGAAATGGTAACTGATTTGTGTCTTTAGTTCTTACAAGTTATCTTTACCTGTTCTGCTTTTAGATAGAAATTAACCAAAAGATTACTCTACATTCTTGAAAGAACTTTAGTGAAGAGGAGGAGAATCAGATTGACCTGCGAGGGAGCCTCCAGTTAACTCAGAGGAGCTCTCTGTTAAATTTAGGAACATTTAGGAACTTCACTCTTCAACCACTCACTGAGATGACTGAATCATGATTTGGTCTCTTAGGTACTGCTGGTCAAATGGGTTGATCTCCAGCAGATCATCTGAGCTTGAAAGTGCAGGTGAAAAGCTGTCAAGAAGATGTGACTAGTTGCAGGTTTACTGAGACCAATTAAGACAACCTGCACAGTGATCCATGGATATTGGCATTGAGTAATATTGAAGTCCTTAGCTGAATAATTCCTTCAGAAGCAGCCTAAAATGAGCTACAGCGTGTGTGTGTAGAACATTCATTAACTCTCTCATAGAGACATGGTTGTTGTCATAATATGTACATAATTCACCACCATAGCCCAAACATGAGATACACTGGATGAGCCAGTAGTCCTCTCATTATGAGAAGAGGAATTTTGATGCTCTGTGCTCACCTTAACCTGATGTCAAATAGCCTTAGGTGGAGATAACATTTCTATAGCAACATGTCACATGAGCAAGCATGAGTGGAAATGTAACAAATGCAAGAAGTTTAACCAATAGAGAAGAGAATATTCCACCTGATGGAGTAACAATGTATGGAAGTATGGTTACAATAATGGTGTTGCATCCACTAGTCACTATGGGTGGGAGAAAGAGAAGTTCTCTAAATAGTAAACTTGGTGAATTATGCAGAAGATTAACTGCTGAAAAAGTGTTGTAACCATTATTTTCTGAGCAACCTAATGAAAATGCAGAATTTATACAGCAAATATATTTACTTATGCTTAGCTGGTATTGATGCATTAAGCACAAAGTTACACAGTAGGCTATCTGTGGTCTCCTCACCATTGGTATTGAAACCTGACTTTTAGCATTGTGAGCACACAGACTTATCATTGAGCCACTAGGTGCTTAACTTATACATATCTATTTATACATATATTGAAATTCACTAATTTTTCAAAGTTAAGGCAGTTGATGTTATTAGATGTAATGGCTAAAACATCAAGTCTATATGACTGGAGATGATTATCAGGGACTTGAATACAAATGTAAACTGAAAGAGATTTGCAGCCCTTATTTTCTGAGCTTTCAAGTGAATTTGAAAATATCTTTCAGTATTGTTTATCATCTATTCAATTAACGGCTGGCAAGCTGTTAATGCTATCTACAATACCAAGAACACCACGAGTTGAATAGATACATACTGTGTTTTTAACAGACATTGCTGTATTGTCATGGAGACGTTTTGGTTCTGATTTTATATATAAAACACCTATGATTGTGTTCTGAAGTGTGTCTATATAGTGTTATTTGTTTTTATCTATCCAGTGAATGATGGGTTGAATCAAGATAAAGCTCACAAAAAAGAATTGTAGAATACCATACCTTTACAATGAAGATAGAAAGAGAAAGAACACTATGAAATAGTGTTTAAAACATCATAGACTAATTGTGATTTCCACTACAAAGGAGAAAAGAGTGACAGTATTTATTCACCATTTTTCCTCACAAAAATTTCTAGTATTGTGAATTGCTTACATTTATTTTGTGTTAGTAGTTTTGAGTGTATACTCTTGAATTGTGATATAGTGTGGTGAACAGTTAGAATTTTTAAGTTTGGCAATGAAAACACCCAACATTGCAACTTTTATGTTTAAGTTTCTTACTAATCAAAATCTGTGTGTGTTTGCATATATGCATGCACATACTTATATACTTAAATATTCATAGGATCACATTAGCGATAAACGTACAGCACAAGTGAAACACTTCTGTATGAGAGAAAGAGAATTTAATTTCTAAGTAAGAAAATACAGCAAAGTATAGTGTGAGATAGGGAAAGGGAGAGAGACACACACTTTGCTATTTGTGTGGCTAGTATTTTTACTTTGTTTATAGTTTGAAAATTCAGGATGTTTTCAAACATAAAGTAGATTTTCTCTAATGTTACGTGAAAAGGTGCAGAGTTTAGCTTAGTAAAAGCTCTGCCTTTTCCCTTCTAGTCACACATTTCTCTCTGTGTGAAGTGTGGTTTTAACAAAACTTGAGAACCAAATGGCTCACCTGCAAGGAAAACAGCACTTACCTACTGTAAAAATATAGGTAAAAAATTTTTGCTTTGATGCATTTTTGATGTTCAGCTGAATCTTTGCAGCAGAATACACTTTGTTTTAAGTAGTGTGAAAAATGTACATTCAACCTTGTATTGATACATTGAGAAAGTACATTGGTTGAATTTTAACAATCACCACCCTTTACTGAAACCTGAAGTGCAGTGGGTGGACAGCATTTTTAACTTTTTAATTGGTGTTAAGTCAAAATTAATAAGTACTTGAGGACAAGCCTAAGGTATGGAAGAGAAAGATTGTACTATACAGATTCTAGATGTTTTAATCTTCTATAGTGTATTTTTTATCTTCTTAATTCTTATGGCTTTCTAATATTCTAATTTGGAACTTGTTAAATCTGGTTGAGGAACTCATCTTCTGTTTTGTGAGTTAATTATAAGTTGTACTGTTTGAACTTGTGTATAGGGGATAATTAGCAGGGATGTTGCATGTTTTCTGATTGGTCACCATGGTGAATGTGCATCATTGAGGGCAGGTTTGATGCATTTTCAAAAGATTATTCCTCATCTCTGAGAAAAGAAATATGTCTTTTTGAGAGTGTAAAGACTTGTTGAAGCTTCATTAGTATGTTAGCCTTTTGTCTATCAATTCTGCTAATCATGAGAGCTTATTTTATTTTTAATCAAACCTATCTCAGTACAACAGCCATTTCCACCTGTACAATTGGACAATATTCTGTTTTCTTCAACACATAAAGTATCTTATTTTCTTGCTTGGAACTCTTTTATTTCACCTCCAACAAACTGCTATACCCCTCCTCACACATGTTAGATCCATAATCCATTTTGTTTTTGCAGAGATGAGGTGACTATGTGTAGGTTTACTCATGAATTATCACACTACAAAACAAACAAAAGGTCCAAAATTGACATGCCATTAAACATAACTGACCAATTAAGCACAGAAATGTAACTGTACAATAAAACTGTTACTAACAGCTGACAAGTACTTTAATAAACATTTGAGATACAAAATGTTCATTTGTTTTTACTCAGAATAGACAAAAAATCCTTCTTCTGGGCCTTCTGCTTTGAAAACAAATCAATTACATAATTGAAATCCACTTTTTGTGTTCATTCTCATTCAGTTTATAGCATTGCTATCCCTTTTTAGACAGTTTTGAAACATTTTACTCATCAAGGAGGGGGGTTTTATTGTTGACTTATAGTCTTAAAGAATACTGTGCCAGCCCTGTTCACAGGTGGGCCTTTCATGAGTTACAACTGTGTGAGCCTCTTTGCCTAAAAGTATATTTTATGTACCTACATGTGTTGGGACTGAATATCATCAGATGAGCTTCTGGGCACAAAAAGACTAATTTAATACTGTACTGCCTGGTTACAATACCATTGCTTATACCACAGGTCTTCCTTCCTTCCCCTACATTCAATATTGGACTCACCCAGGAAGGAATGTTCCGCTGTGTGTCTTACTCAACTCTAGCTCAGCCTTTAGTGGTGTCTTAATGTTGTGATTATCTGATCACTGTGTGAGATTTACAGTGTAGAATTGTCCTGTAGATTTTTTTATGGATAATGGCAAATGTAAATAAGTGAAAGTAGTACACCATTGAGAAAAACTAACAATTACTGAAAAAAACTCTCTGGTAAAAAAATAATTTTTAAAGAAATGATTCAATTTAATAAATTCTATGTACTGATTTTATATTGATGTCAATACATATTTTTTTCTATTTTGTTGTTTGTAGCAATTAAAGAAAATTGAAAAAAAGTAAAACAGTTATATATGTGTACATACTGTATTGGGTAATATGACCATTTTCTTGGTTATACTGCAGGAAGTCTTATAAGGCAGGTTGCCACCTGTATTATAACCAGGGAGCAATATATATATCTCATAAAAGATCTTCCATGAGTTTGGTCAGGTGAGGCCCTGGAGCAGCTGCCCCATCTACATATATATACATGCCACTGTATATATATATATATATATATATATATATACATGTATATCTATATAGTAATAGT